TTTTGCTCCGGTCGCCATTATACTGTTAATCTGACTTCCGTTTCGACAGACCTGCTACTGATTAACTTTTTGTCGTCGCATTTAATCAGCTTTTCCAAAAGTGATGTGAGTGTTTCGTATCCTTCTCGTGAATTTGTATATTAACGACAACGAGTTATTGTTATTATTTTGCTGTACCGATCAATTTTCGACTCCAGATGATCTATATCAGGCTAAGGGCCAATTTCACCAACATTTATATTTGACGATCAGTTGGACCAATAGGAAAAGACCTTATCGAAATGCAATTTCACGGAAGCTGTCAAAGATCTTTGAATATCAGTGATTTCTATTGAAATATTGAACGAAATCGTGAAAATTCGACTGTATTATAAACAAGACCACTTTTTGATTCCAACATGATGTTTTTGTACAGAAAAAACAGGACAACTTTCATGTATTTTGATATAGGTTATAGGTTTACATTTAACAATCCGTTATCCCCCTCAGCGAATGGGAATGCGGCAAATAATAGGTCGATTTTCTAGCTGTTAAATTTGGCAGCAGATTTGGACGTTTGTTAATGCATGGCACTCTCGAATTTACCAACTTCAATATACTGAAAGTTATCATTACATACCTGTTGAATAGTGTGGATTTGTCTGAATTTTGCAAGTAAATAGAATATAAAATACATTGCATCCAATTCCTCATCTTCCTTTACGTCATAATAGTAATCATTTATTAATTTATGGGTTAATGAATTTCTTCAAAGCAATAAAAACATTATGTCCTCTCCATCCTAAAACACAGATAGTATGTGTAAGACGTATCAATCCCTACATCTCCCTGATGCATAATGCAATTACTATGGACATAGACAAAAAATTATGAAAAATGTTTCACAGATAATGGCTTTTAAGTCCAAAAATTACTTTTTGTAATGTTTATTGTTTGTCTATTTTTCTTTTTTGACTGGCGGGGATATCTATCTGACACTCGCAGGGTTGCCAAGTCTAACGACGATCACGTCCCGTGGTGAAAATTTACAAGTTACCATGATTATAAGCATCTTTGGTAGATTGTTCGATCCGGAATGGGAAAGATCTCCTATTTACGAAAATATTTTTGGTATCATCTAACCATTGCAATCAGTGCACAAACACTGTGACATATGATTTATAGCATAACCCGCTGCCCTATCAATACAAATTTAACATACAGGTCGCCTAGCTGTGGGGATGCAGTGGTTGGGATGAATATCACGGCAGCAACTGATGATTTGGGCATGTCTGGTAAGAACGTATGAAGTGGAACGCGCTAACTTCACAAATTTGAAGTTTTTTGTACAATTTCTTTAAAATGATGAAACATATGTCTGATTTGGCAGGATAATGTCGCAGCCAAATGGCAGTCACTCTTTCTGACACAGTCCGGATCGAAAGATGACGATACTCGTGATATGTATTGATACTTCTAAATATAGGATCCGATCGAGCATCCCTACTGTCAAGATGTATAACCCAAGGTACCGACGGAGCTATTTTGCGGCGTCATGGAAATAATTTTAAATTTTCATTTGCATTTTTTCAAGTGTTGTGCAATGATTTTGGGAAAAATGTCACGAATAGTCTTATAAAGCATAGTAGAGTATATTTCAACAGTTGGCGGAACTTACTCCACTGGGACCAGGGGGGTGAAATGGGATATTAATGCACAATCTGGTAACCCTGTCGTACTCTCACAAAATGGCCGCTGACAACCACACAAGTCACCGTGTTGTTATTGAAAAGCATGGAATTAAACCCTCTGAGTATATATGTTTTGTGACTGGTACCAAGAGTTGACAGATCCCACACATGTGTCACTCCTTGACTCCTTGAAATGCAATAATCAGCTGTATTCAAATAATGTCTAATATAAATATAACCTAGAATGTGTATTCGTGAAAAAAGAAAAATATGGCAAATTTGTAGCTTTTTTGCAGGTTTTATAGGTTTGCTGGTAGCTTTAAGGCATATATTTGGGAATATCTTAATCGCTATGAATATAGTGTGGATGTTTGTTCAGTTCCTGACAACGAACAATATTCAACTTTATGGATGTATGGATATCAAAAAACCTGAATGGGAATATCAATCTAAGGTGCCATACTGGTTCTGATGAACGGCAAGTAAATGAATGAATGTTTGGAAACGAGCAATATCTTTTTGTAGAGCCTGCCATCAAATAGGTGCTTAATGGCTATCTGCAAGAGGTTTATAGGAAAAAACACCCAGTATCACATATCAATTGAAGAAAATAATATAAAGATGAATAAAAAATCAACAATAGTAATTAAAACATGAATTTAATTCAAAAATCAAACATTTCTTAAAATTTTGACTGAATTATATGTAATTTCTTAATACTCAATAAGCTGGTAATGTTTCAATGACAAGTTGTCATCTCATACTTTGACAGTATTTTGTTTTCAACATTCCGTAGCTATTGGTTGCTGAAATTTGTTGATTGGAAATTGAAGCTCATTCGCTGTATCTGACGGTCTGTTACCCTATAAGGTGGAGAATAACGGACTGTTGTTGGTGAAATTGGGCCTAAATGAACTATAAAGCGATTCGCAATACTAAAATTATAGTGTAATAGCAGTATCTTTGCTATTAAGCTTGGACCAGGAAGATTAGCGCTAAACCGTGATCTAGCTTGACTGATGTGTTACAAACCTATACTGAAATGAAATAGGTTTTTTTAGCTAAGCTCAATGGACATGATGATGGATTGTTAAAAATATATCCTTTTTTTCAAATAATTTCTCACAGGTAAGTAGGTAAAATATCAGTACATATTGGCTGTTATATCAATCTTTTTGATTGGTCAAACTTGCGACTATATCGCAAATACTTATTTTTGATTGATGAAATTTACATCTGCGTCGCAAATTTTGTGTCCCTGACAAATCAAAAAATAGGTTTTTGTAGCTGAACCAGGTGAAGCATTTCTTGATTTAATATGGGAATTCGGGGCCCATCCTACACAAATCGTATACTTTTTCTCTAGCTTGGGAGACATTTTTCATGAACTCGACTATATACATTAGATCCATTACTTCAAAAACGGCTTCTCGGCTGATCGGGCCTTAGTGCCATTGATCAGGTGCAAATTGGGCCGCGTCCTCATACCCTTGAAAATCGGTACGTCTCGCGCAAATCTGGACACTTGGCAAAAAACTCATTTTTCCATCACTTCTGGGCAAAAAATTAATTGTTTTACCAGCTGTGTGACACTTTCGTCCATCCTACTGCCAGATTGCGTTGCTGAATTGTAAGAGCAGCAGAATTTTGCATCATATCATGGTAACGCTTACCATCGACTGTAAGCAAATTATTACCAGAAGCGTCTGTAAGTTCTGATTACGCGATGCATTTCTTTTATTTTTTGTCGGGTTTTTAAAAATAAGATCAGACTTTTAATTAATGTTTAAGAGGAAAAATCCATATATTTCAGTACAGTTTCAGGATAATGGAGAAACAAATTGAAGATATGAGATATGGGATATTACACATGATGTCTGGGGAAAAATCTGGAATATGCACAACTACAATTTTGACCAATAAACTAAGGTTAATGTTGTTAAATTTTTGTCACACTTTTTATCGCATAACAGAATAAACCCTTTCCAAAGAATCATATTGATATAAGGTACTTAAACGTTTTGATTAATAGTTGTTGAGCGATAGGGTAGTTTATCGAAAAAAACATGAACGTTCGGTATCCTACACATTTGCTATCTGGAAGCGAATTTTGTGTAAGCGTTTTTGTATTGCCCCTAGTCCTTACCCACCCTGTCTATTTTAACATTCTCGAATTTGACTTTTTATAAGCTTTCCCCTGATATGAAGATGAATAGTGTCAACTTATTGAGTTCCTGTAAATTTTTTGTAAATCGCACAATATGGCTAGAAAAAATCGCATTATACATGAAAACAAAAGGTAATTGGTAGACTTATCAAAACTTAACCCTCCTAAATGATCAAAACTAACCATCTTCGGTGGGATCAAAGCAAGTATGTATTTATGTTAAGAAACTGAATGATTTTCATACTAAAAATATAATGTCCTACATTTTGCTTGAAATATTATGACCTGAGTTATAAAAGGAACACTAAGTGTCGGCTTGGCAGATAAACATAAGATTATCAACTTATCTTACTAACTCACACATAGTAAAGGTATTACACGGATTACATGGTGAAGCTGGTAAACTTCAACATAATTCAAGCAATGTATTTGAATCATGATCTATTTTATCCTTATATCAAAAATACTACACGGATTCCCATTACTACACTCTGTAAAACGTTGTAATTAGTCAACTACTTGTCTTTGTTTCCACGGATGATGAGGTATTTTTATATCCATGTTATCTAACAATTTAATAAAGAATTAGCTATAACTGAAAAACAAGTCACACAAAACTCACTGTCCTTTTTATTAGGGAAAGCGTTATGAAAAGTGGAATCTAAGTCTGCTAAAACATACAGGAAAGTATTTTTTTGAGAAAAAGTACATTTTGCGTTTTGACTGTGAAAACGGTAGAACTTTAGCGTTTTCTTAAATAAAAGTTTCAGCTCAACAACTAATAATCAGAACCAATGAGTACGTCATTTCAATCTTTTTCTTTGAGAGTGTCTATCCGGCTGTACAGAAAAATTTGGCAGTCCATTAAAAAATCCATATTTAATGTATTGTAATTAAAAAAGCATTGTTTAATTTAGGTTAAAACTGGAAGACCCTGTATAATACTAAATGTGCCTTTAGACACTTTGAATAGCAGTTTTCTTTGAAAAGTTTTGCTTAGAATCAATATTCCGTCCCCACATTCATGAGATATTGCCGAATCAGTACGCTCTTGGGAAACAATATTTTCATCTTTACGGGCCTTTTTTAGAAGTTCCCAGATGAAAAGCATGTTCTGCTGGTGGGAAGTTGTAGATAAAGAAATAACAATGAAAATAACTTACCAATAGCATAACCGTCTCCAACCGTCAAATAGGCATGTCCAGTGAGTGTAGCAATGGTAAACAGATGAGGATTCACCGCCTTTAGTGCGTCTTCCTTGAACTGGAGCAAAATAAAGTTCATTAGTCAAAGAAACCAAGCCGGTCCACAAAAATGACTTAAACCTACATCAACCGGTTTCAGTATTTGCTGTGACAAAGGCGCTTCGTTTGCAGCTTTTATAATTAATCAAGATAATTGGGAGTTGGTTTTCATCCGCCTATCAACCTACAAGAAAAAATAAATTTAGCCAAAGTACGTTTGTTCACAAAACGAGGCAGTGGAAATTTAAAAGAGACGTCTCACCATGTAGGAAAAGTTTAGCGTTAGCGCAGAACACATGGGATTAGTCCGAATCAAATACTTATTTTTGTCACAAACATTTTCTAATTCAAACCACATTGCAATTCGCAAATGAAGGCAAAGTAGGACCACGGATTCTTGCAGCTAACATTTCATTTGAGCTTTTGGAACACTGGAACCGCGTTTTCGGGCCAGACTCAGTCTGCAATTTCAAACCCACCCCTGTCTGCAACTTAGGTTGCCTAATTTAGGTAACCCAGATTCATTTTCCATTTTGAACACAAACTGAATATTATTTTGATTTTTATAAGCGAATTAATTATGATTATGATGGAGCTTTGATTCATCCTGGGTGATATGTGCCACATCTGTCTCTAGGCAAAAGTTCAAACTGATCATGTCATCTTTCGTTTTACTTTTCGCAAGTTTATTTGTTTTAGCCACCTATATAGGGTGTTTCAAATTTGACCCTCACCGTTGGGATCTCGGAAACTGTAAGAGATACGAAGCCGCTTAAATTTGGGCAAAGTTGCATATTTAGGTAACCAACAAAACGCCGCTTGCAAAGTTTCGAAATTCGAAGTACTTCCGGAGACAGACGAAAAAAATCCGAATTTTTTTCAAAACCTTTCAAGTTTTTCCTGACTACTTGTAGTGGGATTTCAAAATAAATTGCACATTAACATTGCCACATTTTCTCCTCTACAAGAAGGCATAATTAAAATTCCAATATGACGTTTCGTCTGTTGTCAACTTTATTTTCTCTTATAGAAGCCATATTGGATGTTTGCACAGAGGCCTCGCTCTCAATCTCAATAAACAAATGTTGACGTGGCACGCCTATTTAACTATTGTAAGGAATATACTATATAAGGTATAATTAATACAAACTACCCTTATCTCAGAAATTAAATATAATAACAAAAATAATAACAATATCAAGAAAAAGGGAAATAAGAACAATACAAGAACCAGAACAATAACGGGAACAAACGATTATGATTTTGACTACGGCAGGGATATTACGTATAACATAATCTCGAAGAAAAAATGATAAGATGTCATCTTGTTGACTAAGTAGGTGAGTGTGAGTTCATTCAACGCTTGCTACAATTGAACTTGAAGTGAACGACAGCTAGTTCCAAGTTGACGTGTTGTTGGAAAACCTACATAATGTGAAAAAAAACCTATATAATGTCCAAAAATTGGCATAATGTCAATTTTCAAGTGACATAATACCACTGCGAAACTGAAAAGATCGTAAAATGCATTTATATACAGTGGGTTATTGTGTTAGCCGATTATTCTCTACTGAATGAGATCTGAAGGAATGCCCTGAAATTTGTATAAAAAGATCATGATTTTGACAACGGATTTGGAATTGTTTTGGCCCATTTACACAATCTTCCCGGCAATAAATCACTTTAGCAATGAAACCTGTTAGTCGAGTGAGTTGAGTTAGCTAAGTTATGATATGCCAGTCTACATGTCTGAAATTTGAAAAAACATGTGAAAATCCAGTTTCTCCGATTTTTACCGACTTTTGACACAAGAAATCACGATTCTGACAACGGAACTGAAAAGAGCGAAGAAATATATATATATTCGTTCGCTGACAAAAAAAAATGTAAAAAATTGAGGAAGATATCCAAAAATTTTTCCAATTTTCCGGGAACCGAATCCCAATTTTGACTATGAACCTGGAAGAATGCACCAAAATACCTATATAAGTTGGATTTTTAAGATAGCCAACTTATGATATCTTGCTTTTAAAATGTCAAAAATAGAGGAAAATAGGCAGTTTTCCATTGTTTTGCGATTTTCCGGACAAAAATTCATGATCTTGTTAATGGATCTGGAATTCAAAAAAAAAGTTCTATCGAGTTCTTTTCCACAAATCCATAAACATTACACTTATATAAACTCGGACAATGCAACTTTAGTGATTTTTTCAATTTTTTTGAGCAAATATGCGCCCGTAAAGAATATTTTTGAAAAAACATGTTATAAAGGCTAGTGGCCTCTAGAGGCGATCTATCGGTTGAAAAATACCTTTGGGGGCCATTTTTATATGTAGTTTCTCCTATAGCCTTTTATACAAAATCGTCAATTACTCAATATTGCTACATCAATCAACAAAACAGGCAGCAAAACACCTCCAGCTCCACGTTTGCGTGGTTTATCAAGTAGACTTAAAAAGACAAATTGGAAGATTTTTAAAAAAACGGCTTTGAGATATGAATAGAATAGCATATTACATGTTAGTTATGCAAGGTGGATTAATGTAAATTTTGACTTTTTGCAAAAAGCAATTATAAGAATCCTTACAATCATTTTCTGATTACCCTAATGAGGCATTAACGATTAAACACACCTAATATGTAGTATGTAACAACAAATATGTTAAGTAAATTCGCACATTATTATATAAGGATTACGTTAGAGTTTGAAAAATTAATATTAATAAAACGTAAGCAAATGCCACATTTAGCATAACATCATTTTTTCAGGGATTCAGTAAGCGACGGCAAAATTTTTTTATAACGGTATTACGAAACGAACAAGTTCCTGGACTGTTCTTTAGTGCCCCCTTGCATTTGCTTTTCGAACGCGTCAAGTCAGCAGGGTAATATATGAGATGTTAAAATATATAATTATATATATATATATACATATATAGGAATTTTTGAATGCCAATCACATGTACAACAACCGGTGGTCCCCTACTTCATTAAATCACACACCATTTAGATGGGTACCACCAAGCCAATGTTGCCATCTACACTGCCTGTGACGTTCCGGTCGTGTAATAATCTTTTGTATGTAAATTTGACAGACCTCCCCAATGCTAATATTCTCAATACGTGGTCACACAACCGCAACATTAGTTCTTCATATGGATCTGGAACTATGTCTACATTTATCTAGATGAAGTAAGTGATTGGCATGATGACCTTCAGCTAAATCTAATTCTCAAGTGACGCATATAGTTTTGAGTAGTCGGTTATGAAATTAATAGAACCTTGTACTCCAAAATGAACAGAATCAGTATCTCCGACTCGCACAAAATCGTCTTCTCAAATAATGCAAGTAGATCGCTAGAATGAAGTTTCCGTGCTCTTTACAAATATGCAAAAAAAATTAAGAAATTCAAATATACAGGGTATCGTTATTGGGTATATCGATTCTGTCAAATTTTAATCAGGCCGGTCCTATAATTCTTTTCCTCTTCATATTGCGTCGATTCCACCTTGCTGATTCAACCAGTTCAACAAATAAATGTGAAAATATTAAAGAAGACCCTGTATAAGCATAGAATGCAAATTTCTAGAAGATACATTAAACAAATTTAGAAGAAGATGTAAAGTGTGAAATGCATAAATGATAATTTCAGGACCCATGCATTGCTCACTGGAACTTCTTGTGGGATTGTTGCACGAACCTTTCTGCCCTTCATACATCGTAATTATTTAGTCATCTATGGCAGTTAAATTGATGCTTTATCTTTCTCTCTAAGGTGATAAAAATCAGACGTACTGGTATGGAATATGTGAAAAAATCGAGCAAGGGCAAATAGGTGAAGAATGTGGGGCGATTTTTTACTGCGAGTCAATTACATCGGCTTTATAACAATCTTCTATAAAATTGAAATGAGCAGTATTAATTATGATATTTACATGACTGTGACAAAGCAAATGCACAACACTTCAAGTTGGAGAGACCAAGATGTATACAGGGTGAGCTATTATGAGATGGGATTGTTCTATATGCCGAGACCAGGAATAGTTCGAAGAAACACAGAAAAGAGATTCCATAATCTTCTGGTCAAATAAAACACGTATATATTAATTACTTTTTACTGACGTTTTGGACACTAACTGACCATAACATGTTTTGTGTTTATCTGTCTTCCAGTTTTTTCGTGAAACAGAACAAATACACTTTTTTGTTAGGATGAAAGGGTGGAAAAAACTATACTATACATAATCTTTATTAAGGGAAGTATTTCTCACAAAGCAGCAATAAAACATTAAATTTATTTTGCCAGGCTTCGACGTTCATGTACTTTTACTTATTTTTTTGATTCTAGGGGGAGTTAGTAACCACATACATAGCTGTTGAAAATTGAAAATTTTCAAACATCCCATATGGAAGGGTGAATTTGATAAACTCAAAACTGGTATACGATTCAGGAACTAATTTTACATTATATCCTTATCAGTACTAGGCATCTTTGATCAGAAATAATTAATTTTCAGCTAAGCTCTCTACATCCAAAAGATGTAATCGAGAATCAAAAACATAATTAAAATCAAAAGACCAGTGGGATGGTCATAACTTTTATAGCATATATTCTCCACTATACATATAGCTTTGTCGTGGATACTCTAGTGCAGCCCAAAACCTCTTAATCGGGTTCTACTGAATGGATTTTCATAAAACCTTTTTGATTGCATAGTTAAAAGCTTAAATAAAAAATCGCCCACTGAAATTGGACGCTCTCCTTGATAAAAACGTTTAACAACTAATTGAGAATGAAAAAAATATCAAGAAATACAGGATGATTCAGAAGACAGTAGCAATGTTTTTAGGGCACAAGGTAGATCAAAAACTAATACGAAAAGTTCATACAAACACGGGTCTCTTTACTAATATACAGGGTGTTAAGGTTACAATTTTGTTCTATTAAAATATTAAATTGGAATTTTGTGCATGCAGTACTGACAGCGTAGCTGACAGATACAAAATTTTTGTTCCAG